GAGACACAGCTGGGTAGCTGGGTGAGGTGCTGGGGGCTCACGCTTGTAATCCGAGCTACTCAGGAAGTGCAGATCTGGAGCATCAAGGTGCAAGGCCAGACTGCACAGAAAAGCTTTGTGAGACTCCATCTCCAGTTACCCAGCAATATGCTGGACTGGAGGCAGGGCTCCATAGCAGAGTAGCAGCCAGGATCCAGAGTTGGAGTTTCCTAGGTTCAAGTCCCAGTATTGATTTCAAGTTCAGTACCATCATGTGTGGGCACGCAAGCGCGCGCACGCATGCATGCATACACACACACACACACACACACACACACACACACGGAAGTGCTGTTGTGCAAGGCTCTGGGTTTGATCCCTGACATTAGAGGGGGAGGAGGTATACTGGTCTGCGCAAGGCCTCCTGGGGCTCCACTCTGGCCACCTAGAGGCAGGTGCGCAAGGCCTCAGGCAGGACCCATGGCTGTGCGTTACTGACACTTGGCAATGCTGGATCTCTTCACTGGTGACACGTGGGCACCTGTCATGCCCGTGAGCCAGGTCCCCAGGGCTGGCCTGCCAGCTGGGTCTCAGCACCATCACAGTCTTCCAGGAAGGCCACTCCTCGGAGACAGCCTGGCCTTCCAGGTCGTCTCTGGTCCGCCCTAGGCTTTCACCTGTTGGGTCTGCACTGGCAGCCAGTGGAAAGCCCGTTCGATGGGCTGCAGGGAGGCCTGGGGTTGCTGGAGCCGCTTGAGAGGAGGGGTGGGCCCGTGGAGGGCCCCAGGAGTGTGGAGCCCAACCCGGGCTCCCGCTCAATCTCTACTGCGTGCCTGCCCGGCCCCTGGTCAGGGAGGAGCTGGCAGCCAGCCCCAGCCCCCTCCCCCCACTCAGACTACCTTGAAAGTGGAAGACCTTGGGAACAGAAGCCATCTGAATAGGTGTCTTGGAGCTCTTTCTTACACCCTCCTGGTACTTGTGCCCAACATTCTGACCCCCAAGAAGGGCTTCCCAGCAGGATGCTGGTGGCTCACCCCTGTAATCCTAGCTGCTCAGTAGGCTGAGATCTGAGGACAGCGGTTCAAAGCCAGCCTGGACAGGAAGGTCCATGAGACCTTTATCTCCAGTGAACTAGCAGAAAACCAGAAGTGGCGCTGTGGCTCAGTGAGGTAGAGTGCTAGCCTTGAGCTGAAGCGCTCCGGGACAGAGCCCTGAGATAGAGCACGTGCCACCCCCCCCCCCACACACACGCACGCACTGCTCAGTGCACGTGCTGCCTGCTCAGGTGTGCCTTTGTCTTGCCCGCCAGCCCTACCCCTGCCTCCACAGCTCTCCTACCCCTCTCTCCAAATAAGACTTTTCCCTCCAGCCCATGACCTTTGGCAAAGAACTCTGTCCTCCTGCCACTGCGGGCGGTGGCACCATTGCAGCCGACCAGTCCCGCCTCCCGCTCCCCTTCCTGGAGCCCTGAGTTGTCCTGACCTCCCAGGGCCCCATCCCCGCTGCCGGCCTCCGCAGTCCCGGCTTTGAGCACTTTATGTCCAGGACCTCACCTGCCAATCAGCCTTCTCCCCGCCTCCTGTTGCCATGGACACCTCTTGGAAATTCCCAGCTTCCAGGTGCTCAGTCTGCCCTCCTCTCGGGAGCACTTGGGCAGCACCCAGCAGTACCCCATTTCTCTCCAGGACCCACCCACCCACGCTGCCCTGGGTCCCCAGCCTCTGTCAGTGACAGCAGTGACTCAGAGCCAAGAAAAAGCCTCTGTGCTGAGAGCCTTCCCAGCTCCCGGTCCTGTGGGCAGAGACCCCTGCATCACAGCCCCCCCCCCCCCAGTACCTGTGCACGCAGACCTTTGCCCTGACACCACAGGGTCGAGCTCTCCAGGGCAGGGGTAATGTGCTTAGGTCAGTCTCGGCTAGAGCTCACCACGGTCAAAGGTCATTTTCTGTCCCTGGGCCCTCTCCCGCTCCCCCCCTAACCCTGAAGCCTCTCTAGGAACCCACTTCCATTTATCCACTCTCCCTCACCCCTAGCTGTCCTTAACCGCCCAGTCCACCCAAATTCTTTGCAGGCCTTGCCCCTCTGAGGCTACCCGCAGTGCGCCTGGGCATCAGGCAGCAACATGGTGGAAGATAAGGCTGGCAACGGCTATGACCTGTTCTGGGCTCTGCTGCCCAAGGCAGAGTCCATCCTCCTGTGCACGCCCTCCTCGGAGCAGCAGAGGGCTAGAGAGAGGGACTTCTTAGAGTTCCACGGCTGGGGCGGGCGGTGAAAGGGAGGGACAGCGTCCCGAGGGGTTGGGGGGGACAGCGTCCCATGGGGGTGGGGGGGACAGCTTCCCGTGGGGGTGGGGGGGACAGCTTCCCATGGGGGTGGGGGGGACAGCTTCCCATGGGGGTGGGAGGGGACAGCTTCCCATGGGGGTGGGGGAGGAACAGCTTCCCGTGGGGGTGGGAGGGGACAGCTTCCCGTGGGGGTGGGGGGGCTGGTTCCCGTGGGGGTGGGGGGACAGCTTCCTTTGGAGGTGGGGGGGACAGCTTCCCGTGGGGGTGGGGGAGATAGTGTGGGGGTGGGGGGACAGCTTCCCATGGGGGTGGGAGGGACAGCTTCCTGTGGGGGTGGGGGGGACAGCTTCTTGTGGGGGTGGGGGGACAGCTTCCCATGGGGGTGGGGGAGACAGCTTCCCATGGGGGTGGGAGGGACAGCTTCCCATGGGGGTGGGGGGGACAGCTTCTTGTGGGGGTGGGGGAGGGACAGCATCCCATGGGGGTGGGGGGACAGCTTCCCGTGGGGGTGGGGGGACAGCTTCCCGTGGGGGTGGGGGGACAGCTTCCCGTGGGGGTGGGGGGGCTGGTTCCCGTGGGGGTGGGGGGACAGCTTCCTTTGGAGGTGGGGGGACAGCTTCCCATGGGGGTGGGGGGGACAGCTTCCCGTGGGGGTGGGGGGACAGCTTCCCGTGGGGGTGGGGGAGATAGTGTGGGGGTGGGGGGGACAGCGTCCCATGGGGGTGGGGGTGCTGCGCTCTCACACCTTCACTCACCATAGCCGCACTCTGCCGGGCACCGGGTACCGCCTCCTTAGATGGCTTGGAGGACATGCAGGCTCTCAAAGGCCATTTTCCCCATCCTTTCCCACCACACTCAGAGGCCTCCACAACAGGGAGGCTAGGAGAAACCACAGAGAAATGGAGGCCTTACAGAGGGGAGAGGACAAAATTGAGGTCCTGAGCATAATATCCAGCAGCTCAAAATGAATAAATGAACAAACAAATAAGAGGGGGAAGGGGCGTGCTGAAGGCGGGGTCCAGGCTGTGTGAGCACCCTGTCTGCACACGCCCTGAGAGCCGGCTGCGTGCCCTGGGGTGGGTCAGGGCTGCTGGGGCACTTCCACGGGGCATCCCAGGCCGCTCGATCGCTTGCCTGCTGGCCCTGAGGGGGCCTGGACTGCCCCGTCCTGGGCTCCAGAAGCTCTTCTGCCTTCTGGGGCCAGGGGAGGCCCAGTGTATGTGTACATGTGTACTGGGGTAGAGGTGCAGGTGTCTGCTCAGTTCTCCTCCTGGGGCAGGGGAGACTTTCAGAGTGAAGTTCCCCAACCCCTGCCCCGAGGAGGCAGAGCGGGCAGGGCTCGATGGATCCAGGCAGAGCTGTGTACCCAAGCTTGTCCCGTGGCCAGTCTCTTTGGTGGGCAGAAACAGGATGGGGGCGACAGCCTGGCTGGTCCTGACTGAGAAGGTGGGGGCATTCTGGGGAGCAGACCTGGTAGACCCCTGCACGGGGTGGGGAGGGTTTCACTGTGGGACTGGTGCCTGGGGGTTTTGGTGGAAGGACCAGATGTAGGAGGAAGGCAAAAGCAGACCTATAATTCCTAGCCACTGCAATGTGATAATGCATATTAATGCTTCTGGAATGCATCCTGGCTCCTGAGTCTGCAAGGCCGAGACCCTAAGCCTCAGGCCTGTGTGAGGCAGGGGGGGCCTGGCTCAGTTCCTAGGTGTCTGAAAGCAGCAGGGGAAATGTCTGCTTCCTCTTTTGGAGGCCACCTCCTCTTGAGGTGGGATTTCCTGGTGGGTGAACGGGGAGGGGTCACAGTCCACTGGAGCTCGGGAGGAAAGGAAGTTAAATGTTTTTTTTTTTGTGTGTCAGCCCTGGGGCCTGAACTCAGGGCCTGGGCGCTATCCAGAGCCATAGCCACACTTCCAGAGAAGATAAAGTTTCAAGGTCGGGGCTGGGAAGGTGGCTCAGTGGTAGAGCACTGGCCTTGAGCTGAAGAGCTGAGGGGCAGCGCCCAGGCCCAGAGTTCAGGCCCCACGACTGGACCCCCCCCCCAAAAAAAAGAGTTTCAAGGACTTTCCTGCCCAGGCTGACTTCCAACCAGAACCCTCAGATCTCAGCCTCCCAAGGAGAGAGGATCAAGGCATGAGATCCTGAGATCCGGTGTGCACTGGGTGGTGTGCACACTATCCCTGGGAGCCGGCTGGGGGGGCCTCAGCGGCCCGGGGCCTGCCCGTGGTCCTCCCACGTGCTGATGGGTAACAGCCACGGCTCCAGTTTTTCCTCAAGGTCACGGGGGTCAGGGTGGGAGTGGATGTGGAAAACATCTGGGGGAGGCCAGCAAACGCGCCACTCGGACGCGAGGAGGGGCAGCGGCCCAGCTCCGGGATTCGGAGCTCGCTGACCCGGAGCCCCGCCCACAGCCCGAGGCCCCGCCCTCTCGCGCTCCACACCCCCACCCGCAAGCCCTCAAGTTTCTCCGAAGTTTTCCGCGGGTCTCGCTGTGCGCCCCGCCCTCCGGCTCGTGACGTAACAATGGTGCAGCGAGGCGGCCAATGGGCAGCGGCGGGGGCTGGCGGCGCGGGCCAATGGCGATGGCGAACGGTCCCGCGGTCTGGTCTGGCCCGGGCCGCACTGCGCCGCCCGCCTGCCGCCGGCGCCGGCACCGCCGCGCTGCGTTCCGGCCGCGGCGGCTCAGAAAGCGGCTGGTGGCGGCGGCGGCGGCGGCGGCGGCGGCGGCTCGCTCGCGGCCGGCGTTCGGGGCCTCCGCCTGCTCGGGGACCTGCGTGCTCCGGCCCGCAGCGGGGACAGCGCGCCCGGGCCCCGCTGCCCCCCACGGTGAGTCCCCCGGCTCGCAGCCCCGGCCCGGGGTGCCGCCCCCTGTGTGCGGGCGCCCGCCAGTGCGGCCCCGACCCGCGGACGAGCGGCTTGCCCCCGGCGACCTGCCACCCGCGTGGGCCGGGCCTGCAGCGGGCACCGGGGCGCCGGCGGGCGGCCGGGCGCGCTGCCCTTGTTGGCCCAACCCCCAGTCTCGGAGCCGCGGCCGACTCTGCCCGGTGACGCGGGGCGTCCGAACTTTACGTAACCCGCCCGGCGTCCCACCGAGCCCGGTTAGCACACCTGGGGCGCGTGGCCCGGCCCCGCTCAGCGTCCATCCGTGGAGCCCGAAGCCCCGCGCGGTCGTGACCCGAGTGTGTGCCTCGGGCCTGCCCGCCGCGCCCACCGCCCCAGGCGGCCACAGGGACACTTGCTGGAGGCCAGAGGGCACTCGAGCCAGGGGTCAAAGGTCAGGGCTCACGTCCGGCCTGGGGGCTCACCGTGTGTGGAAGGAGCCCCGAACGGAACGCCGGAGACCAGGGTTCTGATCCGGGCCGGACCGTGAACTTGATGACTGACCTTGGACAACTTGTCCCGCTCCTGGAGAATGGGGTGGCAGAACCCAAGTCAGGAGGAGGCGGAGAGGTGTTCAGGTCCAGGGTCTGCAGACTGTGCCTTAGCAGACACAGTGACCCAAGTCTAGATTGACCTCATCCTCCAGGAGCTGCGGTGAGGACAGAGGAGGCCCCTGGCCCCTCCCCGACTCTGGGGCGTGAAAGGCCCGGGCCGCACCCTGCCCGGCAGGGCAGCCACAGCCAGCCACGGCCAGTCCCTCCTCACCCTGCCCGGCAGGGCAGCCACAGCCAGCCACGGCCAGTCCCTCCTCACCCTGCCCGGCAGGGCAGCCACAGCCAGCCACGGTCCACTTTTCTTACAGATGGGGAAGTGGAGGTTCCAGGAGGGAAAGTGACGACCGACTTCCACAGCGCCAGGTGATTCATCTCCACCCAGGAACCAGGTGGGTCTGGGTCACGCCCACCTCCTCCCACCTGGAAGGACGCTCCAGGCCCCAGGAGTGGCCAGCGCCGAGGTGGATGGGAAACTTAAGGGTGGAGAATGGATTTGGCTCAGATTGAGGTCTGGCTTGGGTTTTCTTTTCTTTTGTCCATTATGGGTCCTGAACTCTGGGCCTGGGTGCTGTTTCAGCTCAGCTCAAGGCTAGCGCTCTACCAATTTGAGCCACAGCGCCACTTCCAGCTTTTTCTGCTTATGTGGTGCTGAGGAATCGAACCCAGGGCCTCATGCATGCAAGGCAAGCGCTCTACCACTGAGCTTCCCTGGCTTGGGTTTTCTTACCCTGTTACACGTGGTCATTTGTCACGTGAGGCTGGACACGTCTGGCCCAGGCGTAGGTCCTTCCAGCAGGTCCGAGGGCCGGGGAAGGTGCGGGGCTGTGAAGGCAGCGGTGCCAGGGAGAGCAGGACCTCGACCCTGTCAAGGAAGGAGATCAGGTGCAGCCACAGCCAGGATGCTGGGTCCAGGAGACAGTGGAGCTGGAGGGCGAGGGCTGAAGGCTGGAAGGCCCGGCCGAGACTGGAGGCAGGTCTGAGGGACCCAGAGAGGCGGGTCAAGGAGGATGGGAGCCCCCTTCCCGGACCATCGTTTCCCCCTTCCGCGCCCTCACCACACCCACTCCTTCCGCAGGTCGGTCCCGGTGGCCTGGGCCCATGCCTTGAGGTCGCGCGGTGCCCTGCGGTCAGCATGCCGTGGGACGCGTGGCTCGGGGGAGGCGCCGACGGCGGGCCCGAGGGCGCGGGCGCCGCCCGCTCAAGGGCGCAGAAGCAGTGCCGGAAGTCATCTTTCGCCTTCTACCAGGCGGTGCGCGACCTGCTTCCGGTGTGGCTGCTGGAGGACATGCGCGCCAGCGAGGCCTTCCACTGGGACGAGCGCGGGCGCGCCGCCGCCTACTCGCCGTCGGAGGCGCTGCTCTACGCGCTCGTGCACGACCACCAGGCCTACGCGCACTACCTGCTGGCCACCTTCCCGCGGCGCGCGCTCGCCCCGCCCAGCGCGGGCTTCCGCTGCTGCGCGGCGCCCGGCCCGCACGTGGCCCTGGCCGTGCGCTACAACCGCGTGGGCATCCTGCGGCGCATCCTGCGCACGGTGCGCGACTTCCCGGCCGAGGAGCGCGCGCGGCTGCTGGACCGGCGGGGCTGCAGCCGCGTGGAGGGCGGCGGCACGTCGCTGCACGTGGCCTGCGAGCTGGCGCGGCCCGAGTGCCTCTTCCTGCTTCTGGGCCACGGCGCCTCGCCGGGCCTGCGCGACGGCGGCGGCCTCACGCCGCTCGAGCTGCTGCTGCGCCAGCTGGGCCGCGACGCGGGCCCGGGCCCCGGCCCTGCCGCCGGCCCCGGCGCGGCCGCCGCCCCCGCGGGCCCCGGGGAGCCGCGCCAGCGCCGCCTGCTGCTGCTCGACCTGCTGGCGCTGTACACGCCCGCGGGCGCCGCGGGCCCGGCGCGCGCCCAGCTGCTGGGCGACCGGCCGCGCTGGCAGCGGCTGCTGGGCGAGGACAAGTTCCAGTGGCTGGCGGGCCTGGCGCCGCCCTCGCTCTTCGCGCGCGCCATGCAGGTGCTGGTCACCGCCATCTCCCCGGGCCGCTTCCCCGAGGCCCTGGACGAGCTGCCGCTGCCGCCCTTCCTGCAGCCCTTGGACCTCACTGGCAAGGGCTAGGCCCGGGGGTGCGCGGCGCGGGACTCGGGGACGAGGCTATTTTTCTGAGCGTTGTACCTGGCACTTTACATACACCGACCTCCGTGCAGAAGGGCCTGTCTGGTCTGTTGCGCGCGCTGCGGCCGGGGAGCCCGGCAGGCTCCGGGTTGTCGTGGTCCCGCGGGGCCCAGCTCCCCGGGGCCGGGAGGGGGGGTAGGGAGGAGTCAGGATCCAGTGTCCCGCCGTGATCCGGAGCCCGTGGGCGGTGTCCCGGAGAGGTGACAGCTGAGCCGGGCAGGATCTGGACGCGCGGGGGGTGGCGGCTGACGTGTTGTTCAAGCCCAGGGACAGAATGTGCAGAGGACAGGCCCGGCTCCGATGGTCTCCTGTGCTGTCAGCATCTGGGGCCTCGTAAACTTCTTGGGCTTTGGACTTGATCCTGCAGGCTGGCGGGCTGGCAGTGGCCCGGCTGGGAGACGTGTGACCAGGATGTGCCTCCCGTTCGCCAGCCCCACACTGGCTGCCACACCTCTGTAAACCTCGGGCTTCCTCCACAGGCCTGGATTGTCCCTGACAGCTGTTTTTGCTACCGATAGTAGCCAGCACAGGTTCTGGGCTCTTGCTCTTGTTGAGCTCTGCCCTAGGCCTGGCTCTGGCAGTCAGCATGCCCCCCTCACTCGGGGCCAGTTGCGTGACCGCCACTGGGCTGCCCACCGTGGGTGGGAGCTGGTGCCATGTGCACAAAGGAGCAGGTTCCTCGCCCAGCCCGGAGAACTGCTTCCTGTTGGGAGGTTCTGAGGATGGAGACTTGTTAATGAACACAGCACCCTTCTTCAGGACAGGAGCCCTGGCTGAGAAGCTGCGTCCACCCCCGGAGGAGCCTCAGGCAGGGAGGAAGGCCAGGCGGAATTCTGCAGGGCTGTGAAATTCAACCTTGTAGGTCTGGGTCGGAGGGCCTTGATGTCCTGCCAGGAGCAAAGGTTCAGCTGTCTGCATGATGGGGTGTCCAGCCTGGTGGGGGTAGCTGCTGCCCATTCTGTGTCCAGTGTCCTAGAATGTGGTGTGCATGGGGACAGGAAGAGGCTCTGGGTGCCACTGCAGGGTCCATGAGGGGAGTTGGGGACGGCCTGCACCTGCGGCCCACACACCTTCCTGGGCCTCAGTTTTCCTGTCTTCAGGGGGTCTGGACCATCATGAGGCTCTCTTCTGGTCCTGAGCAGGATGTGTGGGACGGGAGGGTCATAGCTCCCGGACGGCTCTGGGATCCAGACAGGAGAGGTTCCGCCTGCCTTCCGCTCCATGCGCAGGGCCAGTTAGCCTTTCTAAGCCTCAGCACTTAGGGGCAGTGTTTCCAGCCCCCAAGTTGGGACATCAGAGGCTCTTCATGGTCCCCTGGGAGGATCCAGGTCCTCAGAGGACCCCGTGTGTGTACTCTGCCGGACATGACATGTCTGGGGAGGCACTGGTGGCCTGTGGAACTCAGGCTGCACACCTACTGGGGGTCTTCCATCCCTCCCCCGCCCCCTAGCCCTGCCCTGGGCTCAGCCTCCCACCCCAGCTCCAGGGGCTGCTCTGCTACTTCTTACTTCTTGAGTGACATCCTCCTTAGAGCTCCCCAGCGTGGGAGAACTGCTGGGTTCTTTAGGGGCATCGCAGCCCCACTGGGATCTGAGACAGGCATGGGGAAGGCCAGGCCCAAGGGGTTGGGTTAGTTCCAGGTGGTAAGGGCAGAAGAAGGGCCACCTAGAGTACTGGCCTTGGGTGGTACCAACTGGGGTGGACGGTGGGGCAGGGAGGACAGAGCCTAGTCAGCATCCCAGACGTGAGTGTGACCCCTGGCCCGCTGCTGGCGTGGTCTCCCGGCACGCCTGGCCCCCAAGGACCTGGAGTGTGGCAGGCAGATAAGCGGGGCCTGCTCTATCGCGTGGCCACTGTGGGGTAGAGGGGGGCAGACCGCCCTGCCGCGGCTTTCTGCTTATCTGACTCCTGGGCCCTCCCACCTCAGGTAGGCCTGAGAACCACAGTGCCGCCCCAGTGCCATGCCAACGGCTCTGGCCGCCCTGACCGTGCAGGACTTAGGCAGAACCAGACAGGAAGGAGAGACCACAGCTGGCCAGGCCCAGCACTGTGACCCTTGGCAAAATCTGCCCTGGATTCTCAAAACCACATTCTGCCCAAGACAAGCTGCCATCTCTAGGGAAGAGCAGGGGGGTTCATTTGTTCAGCCCACGAGTTTCACTGAGGACCCTGTGTTCCTCTGGGTCCTGCGCCCCACAGCCAGGAACCCATAGAGCAGAATCCCTACCCCAGTGCCTAGGAGGGAGGACTTGGAGGCTGGGCCATGCTGGGCTCATCAGAAGCACTGAGAATGCGGCTGGTGGTGTACAGGCCTAGCCTGGGCCTCCAGGGATGCCGGCCCAGTAGGAGCGGTCCGGGCAGAGCCAGGAGAGCGGGCCAAGACCCCCTCTGGCCGCGGCCATGGGACTTGGCTGCCACAGGTCTTGCCTCTGGCTTGTGTTTGCTGTGCACGACTGCTGCCTCAACTCTTGAGCTCTCCGTTCTGGCTAACGCAATACGGTGTGGAGCAGGCTCCAAGTCACAGCAGACCCCGTACGGACGAGGCTGGCGCGAGTTGGCAGGCTAGGAGAATGGTCTTCGGATGGCGCTGGGTGTGCAAGCTCATAAGCCTGTGCCAGCACAGCCCCTGGGAGGCAGGGCAGGAAGGTTGAGAGTTTGATGCCAGCCTGGACTACAAAGCAAGGCTGTTTCAGAAAACAAGATGACGAGCAACCCTCGGTTCCTGCCTCGGCCCACCTGACCCCTCACACTGAGGCGGGATTGTACGCAGGGAAACGCTAGGGTGTTGGTTTCATAGCTTGGCGAGTTATGAGCAGCGGATGCTCGTGTACAACCCCTACCACAGCGAAGAACAGGTGAAGACAACACATCCCGGGACTTGCTTAGAATGGATTCCCACTGGGTCTGCCCTGGGGAGCAGGGCCCACACCCAGCCCAGGCTGGAGAGCAGCTGTTGCCCACACCCATAAACCACTGCCAGCGCCAAAACATGGGCCCCCCCTTTTTTTCTTTGCCAGTCCTGGGGCTTAACCTCAGGGCCTGGGCGCTGTCCCTCAGCTCTTCAGCTCAAGGCTTCCACGCTCCCACTTGAGCCATAGCACCACTTCAAGCTTTTTCTGCTTATGTGGTGCTGAGGAATGGAACCCAGGGCCTCATGCATGCAAGGCAAGCGCTCTACCACTGAGCTACCTTCCCAGCCCCTGTAAAAATAATTTTGTAAATGTGACTTTTAAGAAGCTCTCTTGGTGTTTATTTTGTAATATGTGATTCAATTAGTGTTGGTATGTGAAGGTTTAATGTGACTTTTCAAAATGTAAATTTTTTATTTTTAGAATAAATAATACATTTTAATGGCTCAAAATTAGGAGATTAAAAAAAATATATGCTTAGAACCACCACCTTCTCGTCCCCCCCCCTTCTAGTACTGGGGTGGAGCCAGGGCCTCAGGCTGGGAGTGTGCTCACCACTTGAGCCCATCCCCAGCCCTTTTGTTTGTATCTGATGAAATCAGGGCTAGCTGACTGCCCCGGGTTTCCGGGAACTGCCCCTGCCTGCCAAGCAGCTGCAGTACAGGTGTGCCACCACACCCAGCCCCACTGCTGCCCCTCTGCTCCCCGTGAAGGGTAGAACACAAGGCGTGCACACCCAGGCACTGCCTGCTTCCCTCTCGGATCTACAAAACGATTGTGACTACTGCTGACACTAAGGATTACAGATTACAGGGCACGAGTAGCAGCCGCTGCCTCATGAGCTGTGTGCTCATGTCCACACCACCCTTCCCAGCGCAGGCTGTTTTAGTGCTTTGGAAAAAAAAAAAAAAAAAAATATATATATATATATATATACACACACACATATATATATGTGTATATATATATATTTTTTTGCCACCATTTATATTTGTCTGAGGACGGATTTCTGGAAGTGGATTTGCGTATGACACAGCCAGTGTCCCTCTCACTGGCGCCTCCACTGGGCATGCAGGCCTGCGAATGCTTTCATGAGGGCCCTTTAATCTCCACCAGCCGTATCACAACTCTCCTCCTCCTGGTCTGGACAAGTTCTTACAGTGAACAGCCAGCATCCACATCTTGCCTCTTGCAATTTTGTGCAATTACCACCTTTTTGATCTGGGTCGGGGTTTTTTGGTGGGTTGGTGTTGCGGTGCTGGGGATGAAGCCCAGAGCCTTGTGCGTGCTAGGCTAGCATTCTCTCACTGAGCTGCAGCTGCAACCCTAGGCAGTTTGGAAGAAACTGAATCTCTGTGTGGATTTTCTTCTGTGGCCTTTTCCATCACTTGAGTTTAGAAAACCCTTCTTCACCACCTATAAGTCAGAGATTGTTTTTCCCATTTGTTATTTTTGCCATAGAGGAGTGGTACCGGGTGCCAGTGGCTCACACCTATAATCCTAGCCACTCAGGAGGCTGAGATCTGAGGATAGTAGTTTAAAGCCAGCCTATGCAGTAAAGTCTGTGAGATTCATCTCCCATTAACCACCAGAAAACTGGAAGTGGTACTGTGGCTCAAAGTAGTAGAGCACTTACCTGGAGCAGAAAAGCTCAGGGACAGTGCCCAGGCCCTGAGTTCAAGCCCCATGACTGACCAAAAAAACAAAAAGTAAACAGTCATGACATACATTGCAAAGCCACCTCCCACCCACGTCTGGAATGCTGGGTCCTGCAATCTCTAGGGCCCTTCCAGAAAGGACTGGGTCATCCATGACATGCCACCCCTGTGGGGACTCCTGTTATTGCCCTGGGCAGTGATCTGTGTGTGTGGGGGCATCAGCAGTCTGCAGTCCGTGTTTCTGGTGTGACTCACACCCTGGTTTTCTGGGGCCAGGTTGCAGGGAGGACATGAGATTGCGGATCCAGCAGCAACTGGGGACATTTGTGGGCACTGGCATAGTTTGAAGAGTTCCTTACTGTGGCCACAAGAAAAACATCCCAGTGCAAAGGGCAGGTGTGTGTTTCGTTAGTCTGACATGTTGGCTTTATGTCTAGCCTCCTGTCCTGGAGTGGAAAGGCATCTGCCTCTGCTCCCGCTTTCTGTCTTGCTGCTTCTTGGCCCAGGTCTGACATTTGTTCAGTTGTTTTCCATAACACTGAAGTTGATTGTGTCTGTTAGTTTCCAGCAGGACACTTCTGGCATGTGAATTTGTCTGCAAACACAGAGCTAGGACGTCAGCCACAAGGCAGACAGCCCTGCTCTGCTGCGTCAGGGTCTTTCCCAGGACCACCAGAGGGTGCATCCTGTGCGTGTGGCCAGCTGTCAGGACGTCCTCTGGGCCACGCCAGCCAGTAGACAGCAGCACCTACCGGCTGACTGAGCTGTGGGGTCCCCCAGCACAGCTCCGGTGCTCTGTGAGGCACCATCTAGCTCAAACATTGGACTCACCAGGTTTGCAAAAGCCTAGTTTATTGCACAGTCTCAAAGCACAACTAGAAATTTAAACCAGGAGGAAAACCCTACAAAGCACTGGAGCTAAGTCTAGTTTCAGAGTATGCACTAGGCTTGGGTTTGATTGCACTGTTGTCCCGTAGGCTTAAGAGCGCTGCTGTCTGAGGAGCTTGACAAGGCACAGCATTTGCAGAAAAGGCGGGGTCAGCGGCCGCCTCTGGACCCTTACAAAAGGATTGTAGAAAAGTGTGAAGATCGGGGTTTCAGCAGCTCATCCCCACTGAGACCTGGAAGCTTCCCTCTTCTTGGCTGGCTGGTGTCCTTCACCTGGGGCTGGGGGCCCCCGACACCCAGGTATCGTGTAAAGGAAGCAGCCAGCCTGGGTGGTGTCCTGGAGCAGCCTTTGCAAGGGGGCAAGGGCTGCAGGCAGGGCAGGAGGCTCAGATGCCCCAGAGCACAGTGCTGACCACTGTGTGGTGGGTCGCAGCTAGTGCTGAGGCTGACGCCATTTTTACTGCTGGGGTGTCCACCTCACACCCACCCTGGAAGGAGAGGACGTGCTGGGGGCTGGCCACCCCTTGGAAGCTCCAGCCAAGTCAGGATGTGTTTAGGACACACACTGGAAGGGACACAAGGCCCACCTTCCACCGTTTTTAGAAGATACATCTTCTAACTTTGTAAGATTTGATTTCAAATGAGGTATCTCATGTAGGTTGTAACACAACAAACAAAAAGGCAATAATTAGAACCTCTCTGAGGATGGAGCGGCTGTGGGCTGCTGCCAGCACACTGCTGAACATCACTCACAGGCATTTCAGTCAGCCACTGCCGCTGCTCGCAGACCGGGGCCCCCGGAGGCCATACACACCTCCAGGTCCTGTCGGTGGCCACTGGCCTCTAAGCGCGGTATGAGTGCACAGGAGGGCGTCCTCTCCAACACGGACGTAAGGTTTCCCATCTGGAGTACCTGGTACTGGGCACGTGGCTCTGGGAGCATGTGGGGACCGTCACCAGCACATCTGGTGTCTGCTTGGCCCGGGGTCACTGATGGGGAGCATCCGTCGGGGCCTGTCCTCAGCCCCCGGCTCTGAGCGCCGGGTGCAGGGCGTGGCGTGGGGCGGCAGCTCCAGGCCCCCTGGAGGTGGCCGGGACCAGGCGCCAGGGGCTGCAGCTTTGGCAGCAGCTCGGCGTGTGGCTGTGGCTTGAGTCTGGTGTCAGACGGAAACAAATGCGGATGAAAGCTGTGTGGGGTGGGTCCTGGCCGCTGTGCCGGCCGGGCCGAGGCGAGGCCTGTCCGCAGGCCAGCCCGTCCGCAGCCTCGGCTCCCCTCCCAGGCTCGGCCGGGCGCTCAGATCACCTCCCACTCGTCCTCCAGGTCCTCCGGGTGCGGCGCGGCTGCCGGGCCGCCCTTGTGCGCGCCGTGCGCGTGGCGGAAGGTCTTGGTGAGCCTCTGCAGGAGGTAGCCGGGCGGGCCCACGGCCCAGAGCTCATCGGCGGAGGTCACTGCAGGACAAGAGCCACGCACAGCCCCATTAACCACACAGCCCGGGGCCAGGGGCGGGGGTGCGGCCCAGGGCAGACCGGGCTCTGCTGCCATGCGGCTGCTGAGGCCTGGACCAAGCCACGCTCCCTGCGCACGCTGCGCTCAGCAGGAGATGCGAGGGCGTCCACACATGCGCAGTACCCTCCCCTCCGCTCTCCGGCGCATCCACGCATGCGCAGTATCCTCCCCTCCGCTCTCTGGCGCATCCACACATGCGCAGTATCCTCCCCTCTCTTCTCCGGAGTGTCCACACATGCGTAATGTCCTCCTGCCCATCTCCCCTGGGAGGGCCCCCACACACGCGTATGGTGTCCTCCCCTCCAACACGCCTGTGGTTTCTACGCATGCGCAGTGTCCTCCCCTCCATCTCCCCTGTGAGTGCCCCCACTTGCGTCCCCGTTCACATCACACTGCAGCTGGTGGCACCACACCCCATCCCACTGGGGACTCGGGCACAGCCTGGTGTCTTTCTCAGGCTCTGGGACCCTTGGTGCCCTCCTCACCCAGCACCTGCCTGTGACACAGGACACACATCCGGGAATCTTCTTCCAGTAGTCCCCCGCAGGATTTTTGTCTGTGATGCCATAGCGGCGGGCGAGGTCACCGTTTGGACACCGGGCCCACACGGTCCTGGTGCTCAGTGCCAGCTGGCAAGCCTGCAACCCTGTGGGCACAGTGGGTATTCTGCTCAGCCTGAGCTCATGGGAGGTAATGCCCTCTGCGAGCTCCACCAGCACCTCCTGTGGGCAGAGTCCAAACCATGCTGGTGCGGCCAGGAAAGCCTGAGGCCGAAGGCATGGTGGGCCTGGGCACGGTGGCCCCACAACGCCCAGAGAGGGGGCTGGGGGACAGCTGTGCCTCCGACCCATGCCCCAGGAGACATCTGAGCATAGGACCTGGAAGTCCAAACTGCCTGCCCTGCTGCTGAGGCATGGGAGGGCAGGGGAGCGCCTGTGGCGTCTTCTTACCTGGCACATGCTCCCAGTCCGTTCCCACCGGCATCTCCTCGGTGATTCCGGTGCGGACGTGCACATTCCATCTGCTGTCAAGTGCCCACAGCATCTGGTCGTTGGGGCTGCAGTGGACACTGACCAAGGTGACCCCAGCAGGCTAGAAGCAGAAAGGGGCTTTCCTCAGCCTGAGCATACCCTGCTCTTGGCTGCCTGCGCACACTGAGGCCACGGAGACAGTCACTTATACCGCGTCCTGGTGACTGCAGCTGGCCTTGCCTGTACCCTGGCTGCAGCCTGGCCCAGAGGGATGGGAGTGAGGCGAGCCAGGCAGGGGCTGGACCTTGTGGGTTCCGTGCTGGCTTCCCTGCGCCTCAGGAGGTCATGGTCCTGACTCCCTGCCCACTTTGTTTTGATCAGTCGTGGGGCTTGAACTCAGGGCCTGGGTGCGTCTTTGAGCTCTTCAGCTCAAGTTGAGTGTTTTACCACTTGAGCCACGGCTGGAAGTAGCCCTGTGGCTCAAGTGGTAGAGTGAGTGCTAGTGCTAGCCCTGAGCACAAAGAGGCTCAGGGACAGCGGAGGTCTTGACCAGCAAAAAAAAAAAAAGGAAGAAAAATTCTCAGCCAAAGGAAATGTGGACCTCAGCAGGTCCCTAGGTGTGGACTTGGGTGGTCCCTGGTGGGCCTACCAGAACTCAGAGACAAGAGCTTCCGGGCCGAACGCTGCCTGTGCCCGTGAGCAGCCAGCAAACCTCCGGGCTGCCCTTTTTCTCCTCCCCTTATTCTAAGCTGGTATGCAGTTAAGACATGACACACCCCAATTGTATTCTCCCTCAAGGACTGGGGCTTCCACTGTCACCTGGACATTGCTCAGGTCGAAGCCCCAGAGGTCACTGAGGTGTGGGTTGATGGGAGCGTGCCAGCGGCTGCACCTGATTTGTTCCTTTTAGTTCTGCTTCGTTCCTTTTCATTTCACATCAGTTTGAAAGCCGGTACCAACGTCAATGGATCGGCACTGACTGTCAGGGCATACTGCCCAGGCATCGGCATCTGCCTTGAAATGTGATTTGGAACTCTGCAAGACACGGCAGGGGATATGCAGCACGGGTTTCCCGGACAGCGTCCTGTCCCTCTGAGCAGGTCTGGGAGAGCCAACTGTGCCCACTGCTCGTGTCCACCCTCCGGAGCCCGGGCAACTGTGCTGTGGTCAGCGTGCCTCCCAGTCCAGAGCTCTCCACGGCCTGTCCCAGGGCTGCTGTGGGGACAGATGCCCACTCGGAGGTCCCGTCCTCGTAGAGGCTCTGCGCACAGGCAGCTCACTCTGGTGGACTCCCATGACTGAGGCCCAGGAGGGAAGCCCCTGGGGAGATCTTGGGGCCCTTCTCCAGGGTCCTGGGCAAGCACTGCAAAGAACTTCTGAGCCAGCCCTGCCCCTTCTTGAGGGCCTTTGTTTTTTTAACCCCCTCCAATACTCGTGTTTGAACTTAGTGAGGTTACTGCGGAGCCCCTCCTGGCTTTTGTTCTGGTAGAATGAGATGGAATCCTGGCCTTGTGAATATTCAGCAAGGGCTCCAACAGAGCCACAACCCAGCCTGGCAGGGCTTTTGCTCTCCTTTGTGTTAAATCTTTTGTTGTTGTTGTTGGTCATGGGGCCTGAACTCTGGGCCTGGGCACTATCCCTCAGCTCTTCAGCTCAAAGATAATGCTCTACCACTTGAGCCACAGCCCCACTTCCAGATTTTTCTGCTTATGTGGTGCTGAGGAATTGAACCCAGGACCTCATGTATGCGAGGCAAGCACTCTACCACTGAGCCACCTTCCCAGTTCTTGTGTTAAATCTTTTCTTTTCTTTTTTTTTTAATTGTGAAAATTCCACACAGAGGGGTTACAATTACATGGGCAAGGTTGTGTTGATTCTTATAAGCAAGTAATTGCTAACATCTTAGGAAAGTGTCTACTAGAAAAAGACTAAAGGTAGAAAACAGGCTATTCAGGAACTCAGAGACCATGCAGGGAGAAAAACAAGAAAAAACAGCTTCAAAAACATCCTTAGGAGCCTGGGGCAAGGCTCGAGCATTAGGGCACCTATGAAAACCCCAATACCACCAAATCCAACAGAAAAACCAAAGGGAAGGGCCAGGCATGGTAGTAGATGCCTGTAATTCCAGCTCCAGAAAGGCAGAGGCAGGATTCTAGCATGGGTACACAGCAAAATCCTGTCTCGAGACGACAAACAAGCAGCCCACCACGCGTCCTCAAGGAGTAGAGGAGAGGGTACAACCGTGAAATGACGGAACTTCCAGAACATAAAAAGGCAGTCAAAGCAATGATCCCACAGAAGAGCTGGGTGATCAAATCAGAATGTCTTCCAGGAAGCGAGGTGGCAGCACTGAGGGAAAGTAAGAGAGGCAGAGGGCAGCCTGGGCAGCCACACCACAAGAGCAAATGGAGACACGAGGCTGGGCATGGTGGAAGGGGGACTGGGCGCCCGGACTGAAGAGCAGCGGTGGGAGAAAGAACTCAGCTGGCACAGGCCCTCGCCAAGGTGTGCCTCAGTGTTTGCTTACACACTGGGAACAGAGATGTGACAAACAGGAAAGGTCAGGTGTCAGAATGACCCCGGCTTCTTTCCGCCATACTGGAGGAAGAGCTTCTGTATTCTATCAGAAACTGATTTTCAACTGAGACTGCTGGACATGGCCCGGGCCAAGGCGGGCGCAGACGGCTTTCCAGACAGGCAGAGTGGGCCGTGGATGCTCTGTCGGGCAGAGTGGAGATGACCCCCACCCCAGCCAGTACAGTCGAAGACCCAGTCCAGAACAGAAGAGCCCACAACGAAGGAGCAAGGGTCTGGGGCAGAGGGGATCGGGTCAGCCTGGAGCAGTCCACAGGGCCCAGGAGACCTCTGCAAGGGGCAATGGAGAGGTTCTCCAGTGTCTCCAAATGTATGATGGGCAACTGAGACAGGTAGCTGGTGCGAGCCGGGGTTCAGTGTGGAGAAGCGCACCTGGAGACTGGAGGAGCGAGCAGAGGGCTGCTAAGTGAGGGAGGGAGACACACACACGCAAGAACGTGGCGTGTGGTCTTCCAGGCCTGTGTGAGAGCCTGTCCCTCCTCACGTGGGGCCCTGGGCAGAGGGAGCTCAGGAGAGCACACAGCTGGTGACAAGGGGACGTGAGTGGCCCTTGGCCTCTGCCAGCCGAGCCAGTAACAAACACCTGGAGGAACACAGATGAGGAAGGGCTTCTGAAGCAGTGACTTAGAGCCCTACTCAGAGCCCCAGACCGGAAGCAGCTCTCCACGGAGTACAAAATGGGGAAGGGGTGACGTGTAGAGCTGGTGGACATGCTCACTTACGCGTTGTGGTGCAGGGCTCTGATCTGCTGGATTGTTAATAAACTAAACAAAGCCTGAATGTGGACTGGCCGCTGGTAGGAAAACCAAGGGCTGGCGAGTTTAAACGACAGTCTCAAGGTTACTACGGGACAAGGAAGTATACGTTCACATTTGCTTGGATTGCAAGGAACAGATTACATCAATGGGAACAGAATTGGCTGGCTGGCTCCAGCATCTCCTGCTGAGATTGGTGCTGTGGCTTAAGTGGTAGATTGCTAGACTGTAATTTTTTTCCCCCAGTCCTGGGGCTTGAACTCAGGGTCTGGACACTGTCCCTGAGCTTCTTTTGCTCAAAGCTGGCACTCTACCATTTGAGCCACAGCGCCACTTCCAGCTTTTTCTGTATAGGTGATACTGAGGAACTGAACCCAGGGCTTCATGCAGGCTAGGCAAGCACTCTACCACTGAGCCACCTTCCCAGCCCCGTATTAGGTATTTTTGATCTGGCTTCATTTTATGGCACACCTCACTTTACACATAGCAGTCCTCAACTCTGTAAGCTGACTTACAGCAGCTGTACTGGAAGAGCCGTACTATCACTGCCTGGTTTTTCCCATAGTTCTGCAAGCACTCAAGAGTATCTTGTGGGAATGACTGGCAGAAAGTTGGTTGAAGACAATGAATTTTGTAGACTAAAGTTTTCTTGCTAGGACTTTTACTGAGGCTTTTTTCTTTTCTTTTTTGTCATCATGGGGCTTGATCTCTGGGCCTGGGCACTGTCCCAGAGCTCTTCAGCTCAAGGCAAGTACTCTACCACTTGAGCCACAGCACCACTTCGTTGTCTGGTGGTTAACTGGACATAAGAGTCTTACAGACTTCCCTGCCTGGGCTTGTTTTAAACTGTGATCCACAGATCTCAGTCTCTCAGCCTCCTGAGTAGCTAGGATTACACCAATACTAGACTAGGAGCCACCAATACTAGACTCATTTCTAGATTTTTGATGGTTCATTGGAGATAAGATTCTCATGGACTTTTTTTTTCCCTTTTGCTAGTCCTGGGGCTTGAACTCAGGGCCTGGTCACTGTCCCTGAGTTTCTTTTGCCCAAGGCTGGCACTCTACCACTAAGCCACATTCCCAGCCCAACAAGTCCCATTTAAACACTCCCCTGTCTACAGAATCAGGGCCCTTTTAATACCTGCACTTCCTTCACTCCCATAACCTTCATCCTTTGTTGTTTTTTGTTGGTCGTGGGGCCTGAACTCTGTCCCTCAGCTCTTCAGCTCAAGGCGAGCACTCTACCACTTGAGCCACAGCGCTACTTCCGGCTTTTTCAGCTTATGTATTGCTGAGGAATCGAACCCCAGGCCTCATACATGCAAGGCAAGCGCTCTACCACTGAGCCACTTTCCCAGCTCCCCCTGAGCTTCTCTTGCTTAAAGTAGTGCTCTATCATTTGAGTCACAGCTCCACTCCTGGCTTTTTGGAGGTTAATTGGAGATAAGAGTCTCATGGACTTTACTGCCTGAGCTTGCTTTGAACCATGATCCTCAAATCTCAACCTCTAGAGTACCTACATTACAGGTGTAAGCCATCAGAGCCCTCAAATTTGTCTTTATTTTTACTGTACCTTAAAGTAAACTGCTGACATGAGGACTTTCCACAGCTGTTCCACAAATGAACACGTAAACTATTATTGGGAGCTCAATATTCACTTAGGGTGTTTTCTTTGGTAGGATTTACATAACAACAAGTGTGCAGGCTCAAGCACGCTATTCTGTGAGTGTAACAAATCCCCTGGAAGCAGCCTCACCTGTCCAGCCATT